ACTCATAATATCATGAGTTTATCGAACACCTTAATTAATAATTAATTAATTAAATAATAAATACCAACATACCATTACCAACTTATAGTCCTAATTACAATAAGTTGCAAACCTATATTCTAAATTTTAACTTCATAATCATTCAAATTGTTCTGCCATTAACTGTACTCACCTTCTTCAATACCGATTCCTATCCTATTTTGCCAAAACTGATTCTCCTCCATTCCATACCCAATTGACAAAACATACTCCCTTCATCCCATAATAGTTATCCAATTTTTCTTTTTGGGTTGTCCAAAAATACTTGTCCATTTACCAAGTTTAAACAACATATTTCACATCTTTCCATAAAATACCCTTAAAATTTTAAAAAATTTCAAACTTGATTATATATTTATATATTTAAACTTAAAAGGGTAACTTTGTAATTTTAAAAGGGGATAATGTAATAATTACATGTCCCCTTAAAAAGTTTTAATTCCCATAAGGGACATCTATTGTGGGACAGAGGGAGTACAATATATATATATATATATATATATAATACTCTGTATACAAGTGAACCCAAATCCACCTTTATAAACGAAAAAAACATAAAAGACGAAATAATCATATAAGCATTCCCTGTGACGCACACCAAAGAATTTTGGTCAAATGATCTATTAGTGAGTCCCGTCACCATCATTACCCATATTTCGTTCTATCCATTTCATTTAACAATCAACAACATCATCCATGTACATGAATTTTTGCCAAAAAAAAAAACTCCTAGTGGCCCACCACCACCATTACCATTTTCTTTTCTTTTTCTTTTATCTTTCCTTTACTAAACTAATACTAAAAGACAAAATACCAATAACCCCAAAATCAATCATTAGAAATCTAAGCTAAACTGAATCTCCAATTAACTAAGTATTTTGCACCCATATACATGAACATTTGATAACATATATCTCCTTACTTCTTGAATGGCTTATGTCTCCAACAATAAATGTGTATACTTTGTCTTTCACCAATTATGATTAAATAATCAATTTTCACAACAAAAAGAAATAATGAAATAAATATAAATTCTAATCAATCCGTAACTCTTTGTATAATCTCCATATCTCTAATTAAAAATAATTATCATGAGTTCTACAGTTAAATCATGCATAATAATCTAACAATTAAGACATAAATAAATATAGAGTTACAAACAAGAATTAACTTGCCTGAAAATGAAATTTGCTTAAGCTTTTTCGTTTCTTTAAATGATCGTGTACAATTCACAGAATAGTATCGTAGGTATGTCAACGTAGGTAATGCAATGCCGATACAACTAAGTCTAGATATATATTTAGTGATTGAGTTCAATAAGAACTCTTTAAAATTCAAAATAAACTGAATGATATATAGCTTTATATCTCTATTAAGAGGTACAGTAAACCTCATATCTCTCATAATTCCACATAGATAATATGTAGATAAAAACATAAATCCATAAATAAATAAATATATATATAATATAAATTTGGGGTGTTACATTCTACCCTCCTTAATTGAAATTTCATCCTCGAAATTTACATACCTTTACTCAATGTCGTCTTGAGACGTCTTTTCAGAATCCTTTTCAAGACCATCTGCTTCAATTTTCATTTCCTTGAAAGGAACTGGGTTAGCTTTGGGTTTGCAAAATGGAGACCAATCTCGTACACAAGAAACCTCTTTTGGTTTATACTTTGGGATAACACCTATTGGAATAGAACTTTTGATATCCATTCATACCTTTTGAGTTCTCCCTCGCATACAAGCCGATAAATTGATCTTTTGCTCCTGTTTGTCCTCATTAATTTTCTTTCTAGTTATCCTGATTCTAAAATGCAATCAGGTAAATAAAATATAAGCCGTTTCACTTTTTTACTCATAAAATAATGACAACCATCCAATAATAATCAATGAATTTACATGACTTATAAATCCATATTACAAACCAAATGTTCAAAGAAAACAATGCTTAACAACCATTAATAAGTAATCTTAAACCTCTACTTTGTTCTTATGCAAATAGCTAAAGAAAAAAAATCATAATAATAATTTCTCACTTCTTCATTTATAATCTCTTCCTCATACTTCTGCGTTTCCATTTCACTTGTCTCAGAACTCTTATGTGGCTTTGGACAAAACCTTGCCATATGTCCACTCTTTAAACAATTATAACATTTCCCCTAGAATTTATATGGCTCCTGTCCGGTTTTTGTCGGCCCACTGATTTAATTTGTTTAGAACCTTCAATTCTTTGTCGCTTCCATTTCTGCTCATTTTGTTCGTCTCTTGTACCCCATTGGCTACATTGGAACTGATCACTCTTACTTCCTTGAGCTTCTTGGAAATTACCCTTTCATTTTCCTTTCTTTTCTAACTGTTGCTCCTTTTTCTTTTGAAAAATATTATTGTTATTTTCTTCAATTGCCATAGCACATTCCACAACTTTTGCATAGGTGTCACACCTATGCCCGACTACCAATCTTTTGACATGGGAGATCAAACCTTACTCAAACTTTCGAATCTCATGTTCCTCATTAGCCACAATGTGAGGAGCAAATCGAGAGAGTTCCGTAAACTTTGTTTCATAGTCACTAACCGTCATTGTGTTGCTTTATTCTAATTCCATGAATTCAATTACCTTCTTTTCTCTCACGGACCGCGGAAAATGTTTTTCATAGAACCGTGTTTTAAATTCTTCCTAAGTCATAACGGCTATGTCTACAGTAGTCCTAGTCACGGTCTACCACCACTGGTGCGCCTCACCTGATAAGAAGAATGCAGCTATCATCATTTTCTGCACTTCAGTGCAATCTATCATCTCAAAATACTTTTCCATGTCATCGATCCATTTTTCAGCATCAAGTGGATCGGAAGCTTTAACGAACTCAATAGCTCCTAATTTGTGTATGTCCCTTATGTATGTAGGCATAGGAACTTGTTCCACATTAGGATTTGGCATTTGAAGTGCCTCGTCCATCTAAGCCATGCCGCGGCCTGCACCGCCCTGATCGGCGCCTCCTTAACCTCTGCCTCTAACAGGTCGTCCTCGGCCTCTACTAGCTCCCGACATCCTATTTAATGAAAAATGATATAATCATTAGTCTTAACGATTAATCAAACCTAAGATGGAGCATACTATGAAAGTAGATAATTTACGCATTCCATAACACATTTCATATCTTAAATTCTATTCTTACAACATTCTTTTCACCCTGGTATTCTTAAACCTAGACTTTAATACCATTTGTAACAACCCACTCCACCACATGATATAATATTGTTCACTTTGGCCTAAGCCCGCACGGTTTTACTCTTGGGTTTTACCCCAAAAAGTCTCATACTAATTGGAGATAACACCACCACATATAAGCACTTCACCTTTTCCTTACCCAGGCAATGTGGGATTATGCACCCGTAACTTGCCCAATATGGTAACCTGCCAGTGTCTTGCACTTGCCCACAGCACACCCTCGCATAGGGTCATCATAATCCACCCCCCTTGGAGACCCAACGTCCCCGTTGACACACTTTCGGCTGGATCAGGCTTTGATACCAAACTGTCATGCCCCAAAAATTCTAACACAAGAACCGTTATCTTATACTAAAATCTGATACGTGACTCACATCATTCATTCAAAATAATCCATGATTAAAATCAGTAAGAATAAATTTTATTTAAAAAATCCATCAAGTGACAAGTAAATTTTATTTTTCCTTTTTATGTTTTTGACAAGTACAATAAAAAGTTGGGTTAAAGGCATTAAGTGAGATCTCCGGTACCCGAAAAAAATTACGAAATTAGAACGACGTTGTATTGTGCTTTGTTATCTTCAGCTGCTACCGTGTCAACAAAATGAACAGTAGATTCTGATCGAATGATCAAGTTTTCAGTTTTTTACCGTATGTGGGCCCTATCGGTAACTGATATCGAGAGATAGAAATGTCGTTCCTTGTTGCGGGATTTGTGGAAAGGGACGACAAAAATGAGGTATCTACAAAAAAATTTCGATCGATCGAAACCGTAATCAGTTCAATTGACGTAAACAAGAAAGGGGGATTTGTTTTCTAAATTGAAGATTTGCTTCCAAAAGGCTCTAAATTTGGGGGGCAAGTTGTTTTCACATAAATATTGGGTTTTATATTAACCCTACGCGTGTGACATATTATGAAAAGATATACATACACAAGGGATTGTTAGATTGATGTATTGCGTGAGAGATTTATTGTGATACAAATAACAGATCTTTGTTTCCGCATATATTATTTTCAAGAGTTAATTAAATAAGTACTTAATTCATTCAGAATTAAAAGTTGAATTAATTAATTAAATTCTCTTTAGGTACTTCAACCTTTGACGTTTAAAGGTATAAAAAATAAAATATAGCTATAATCCTTGAGTGATCGGGGAGATTTGGAAGGAATACGAAAGAAAGGAAATGACGGAAAAGCTTATTTTGTGTTTAGATGGAGGAAATTGAAGATACTTCAATGGATCATCACTTTTTACGAATGCCTTAATCGTATTCTTCTTGTTATTAGACAAAAATTGTCTTGTTCGTTGTGAAAGATTTCTGGATCATTCATTCAACCTCCACCGATGCCACCAGATTAACACAACAATGGCCTACACTGTTATGCTACTTCCTTCACCAATGAAGATCTTCAGAGCTCACCGGAATGTTAGTATTGAAAGCATCTTTTTCTCTACCATTTTGTTATAATGCAATTGTTTAGGCTAGACACCCCATTTTGTAAATTGCTAGTCTTTTGTACATTTGTTTATATTAATGTTTTATAGAAAAAAATAGGTTTGTACATTTGGAATTCTGACCCATTATCACTCATAGAAGAACACAATTATTTCCTTTGTTGTCTCTTCACTATGTTTTCCAAATAGAATTTGGCAGTAATACCATATTTTCTTTTGTTTCATTAATTAACCAAACATTATAAGAGGTTTACAATTTCTCTCATTTGTTTTTTTTTTTTTCATAACCAATTTTATCCTTTTTTATTCTCCCTACCCTCTTATTATACCAAACATGGTCTAAGAGTAATGATAATCTCATCATAAATAAAGAACATTCTCTAAGTTAACGACTCTCTACCGATGATAGTACATACATTATTTAGTAATAAAAGGACCTGAAAATAATTTAAAAAAAAAAAAAAAAAAAAAAGCAATCACTTTTCATTACAAGAAAAATGAATATTTGCAAGGTGAAAAAAATCTTGTAAATACCCCTTACAAGGTTTAATCACATGCGGTAACAAGCCATGCGGTAAATAATGAATTTTATTACCGCATCCAATTAAACCCTATAAATAACCACCTGCCATCTGGTTAATAGGTCTTTTTACATGTTGTAATAACATTTTACCGGATTTTTTTCACCTTGTAGAAAGCAACATTTAAAAAAAAATACATTGCATCCCAAGCAATAAGCTTGTTGATGCACCTATAAAAGTTTCATAAAAAAACAATTATGCCTCCAAAGACAATTAACGCACACCATTTCATTGTAAAACAATTAATAAAGCAAAAGCATGTCCGGCCACTATTCAAGTCAAAACCATATTTAACTATCCAGTCATCAAACAACTCAAATCATTTAAGTATGTTACAATTGATATGAAAGTTAGTGAGAGTAGATAAAGAAAACGAAAAAAAAGGCCAAAGATCGATGAATTTTGACACCAATATTGATGTTCGCCCATTCACAATCAAATATTAGGACTTTAAATGAATAGTAGTCTAAAAAAAAGATGTCCTTCAAAACCCCATAGTAAGATATTCTTCCCACAACTTGATTTGTGTCTCTAGCACTGGATTAACAAATAGTTTCAGTCTCTAAAGAAACACTACTATTTTGTGTGCTTCTCTCAACATTCCTTGTGTGAAACCTTTGCCTATTAATGATATAACCAGAATGGGTTGACATTTTTTCTAGGCTCATTTGCAAGGCACTTCAACATTTCTAACACATCATTACCACTTGTATGTACTTTATCAGCGAGCCATGCAAAAAAAGTCTCTATGTATTTCCTTAATAATTCATTTTTATTCCTTAAAAGACGCTTGTCCAAACACTTAAGCTCCTTTAAATGAATTCTATATGGAAAACAAATACGAAAAGTAAAATGTTAAGCTAGTTTATAAAATTAAATTATATATTAACAATTTTCGGTGCCTTTACACTTACTGAATATACGGTACCACTTCTGGATTATTGAATAACACATAACGATGCGCTATCTCCAACATATCAGAAGGCATGGCTTTTGACTTCCCCTTGGAAATTGGATGACCTTCTAATTGTGTTTCAAATTCAATATCTTCATTACGATTTCTTCGAACTGGTATTTCAGCTGCTTGTTTCATGTGCTCACTAAAAAATTGAACACATTCTTGAGACAAATAGCATTCTATTATGCATCCTTCTGATCTTGTTCGATTCTTAACATATCCTTTAAAAACCTTTATATTCCTAAAACAAAATGTTACATGAAAAAAGAATTGAAAAAAATTAACAAATGCATAACCTAAGAAGTTAATAGTTAAAAACCTCTCAGATGAATACATCCAACAATATTGTACCGGTCCACAAATGCGAGCTTCTCTTGTAATGTGAATTGTTAAATGAACCATCACGTCAAAGAAAGATGGAGGAAGAAATATTTCAAGCGTGCACAAAGTCTCTGCAATATCATTCTCACATTTTTCTAAGGAGTTTTTATCGATCATCCATTGACATACTTCATTAAAATATGCACACAGTCAAAATTAATATTGCATTCCTAGGACCCTTCTGTGCTACCCCGTAATGTAACTAGTAACTATTGTTGCATTAAGACATGATAATCATGTGACTTTAAGCCAAATATATCTTCCATTCATCTATCAAGAAACATTTCCCAATAGTAGAACTATAACCATCAAGCAATTTTAACTGTTGTAACCTTTCACAGAAACGCCGCTTCTCCATCTTTGATAAGGTGTGAGGTCGTGCTGGCAAGTAAAATTTATAGTCTCTCTTTATTGGATGCAATTCATCCCCAATGCATATCTCTTGCAAATCCAAATGTGAATTGAGACCATCCTTTGATTTTTCTTTCATATCCAATAATGTTCCGATAATACTCTCGCACACATTTTCAATGTGCTTCACATCTAAATTATGACGCAAAGGTAATACCTAGCATGCCAAGTGAAAAAAAATAAAAATAAAAATAATTAGTAATGTTTTGCACATCATATGCAATAGAAAAATGTTTAAAAAATTATATTTATTTTAATACAAATTATTCACTTCCCAATATGGTAACTCGAAAAAAATAGATTTCTTCTTCCAAGGATAATCCGAAGTTTTCTCACACTTCTTTCGCTTTTTATCAATTTTTTATTTATTTATTATTATTATTATTATTTTCCCCATTCCTTTTTAATATTCTTAACTACACGAAGAATGTCTATTCTAGAAAAAATTTTAGGCTTCCCCCTCCTTTCTTCATTTCCATTGAACCAACATTTTTTCCTTCGAAATGGGTGATTGTAAGAAAGAAATCGTCGGTGGCCCATGAAAAAATGTTTCTTATAATGAGTCAGCCATTGGGAGCATGGACAAGTTGTTTTACCCTTTGTTCCATGACCAAAGAGATTAGCAAAAGCTAAAAGATCATTCATTGTCCATATCAAAACTACCTTCAAATTAAACCTCATCTTATTGTGTGCATCATAAACCTCTACACCTTTATCCCATAACTTTTTTAAATCTTCTATAAGTGGTTGTAAGTACACATCAATGTCATTCCCTCGTTGCTTTGGCCCTGTGATTAATAATGTGAGAATCATATTCTCTTTAGACATGCATGACAATCTAGGAAGATTATATATAACTAACATCACTGGACAACAACTATATCTAGAGCTAAGATTACCAAATGGATTGAACCCATCAGAAAATAGGCCAAGCCTCAAATTTCTGGGATTTAATATAAAATCGGGCCACTTTTGATCAATTGTGTCCCATGCAAGGGAATCAACTGGGTGTCGCATCTTCCCATCTGAACTTCTGTCAGTAGAATGGCATAATAATCCTTCTTCCTTATTAGTTGACTTAAACATTCTCCTTAGTCTTGCTATTATTGGAAAGTACCGCAACAACTTTGCTGGAACACTATTTTTAATCTTTTTAGTATATGTGTTGACTTTCTATCGTGAAGTATCACATTTTGGACATCTATTTATATTTTAATTTTGTTTTCGAAACAAACAACAATCATTAATACAGGCATGTACCTTTTCGTACCCCTAATCAAATACCTTGAATAAGTTTTTTATTTCATAACAACTAAGGGGAAGTGTGTTGTCATCTGGGAGAATGTCACCCACTATCTTAAGGAGTGCACTAAATCCCGTATTAGATAGATTATATGCGGCTTTGCGCTTGTATAAAGCAATAATGGCAAAAATTCTAGTATACGTTGTGCAACTAGGATATATAGGTTTTTTTCGGCATCTTCCAAAAAAATTTTGAATTCCGTTTCTCTTTCTTCATTTGTAGGCTCTATAATATCATTACCACTGTTATCCTCATCGTCGTCGTCATCATCATCATCACTACTAAAATAAACATCTCTATACATCCTATACGCCTCTGTCATTTCCACATCATCTCCACCTCCTCCATCCTGATGAGACATAAGACTTTCTCCATGAAAAACCCAAGTTTTGTATGTTGGTTCCATTCGAAACATCACCACATGTGCAAACACGATATCAAAGTGCTGATAACATGCATTTAAATAGTGTCTGCAAGGGTACACGATCTTATTTGGGTTTCAGTATTAGCTTGAGCCATATCAACAAACCTTCTAGCTCCATTTCTATATTCTATCGAAGCTCTACAAATACAAACTCATAATTTCATTTTATAGAAACAATTAAAATTAAAATACAAAAGTTTATATTTGTATACATTATGTGCTAACTGAAATAACCTGTTAATAATGCAAGACCAATCTTTGTCCATCGTCTTTGTTAACATCCTAGAAGTATGCAAAACTTTCAAAGAGAACTGGAAACCAAACAAATATATATATATATATATATATACACACACACACACACTACACTAATAATTTTAGTGAAATTAAAGTTTTTTTGAAAAAAAAAAATTAAAAATATGGCCCATCACTTTCCTCTTGAAAATCAAGCTAGCATAGACACAAAAGATTGGGATTATGAATATTTAGATAATTTAAAATACTAATTAGCAGTAATCAAAACAAGTAAATGAAAGAAATGGCACACAAAACAGTGTCTACATATTTAAAAGAATAAAAATGTAAAGAGGCTGTCCAACTAAAGCAATTTGAATTTGATGGAAAAAAAAAAAAATTATGGAAAGAAAGAACACAGGCATGGTTTTGGGCCATTTCACCTATATAACAACACATATATTACATAGATTATATCAAGTGCCAAGCAATAAAAAAATACCAAAGTGAAACATTATAAGGACATTTTGTTGAGCATTGGAAGTCACACAAATACTCTACGACAGGGAAGATTCTCAAATCAATTCAATTTCATGCAACAAATAATGTAAAGAGAACGGAACTATAACCTTTTCGTTCTTTATTCACAAAATTTGAAAGCATAATTCCATGTGACATACAAAAATCAATGCATCACTAGAAAAATTCCGGAAAAGAAAAAATGTATCACTAGAAATGCAAATGATAAGAACATAGTCACTTGATAAAATTCAAAGAGTTATTGCCTATAGCAAAGAAACAAGCAAACTCACTTCAAATGCATTCAGCATTGCATTTTTATTCTATAGCTTTTGAAGGCACATCTCTATGGATACACCATTAGAGAAAATCAATTCATCACAAAGAATGAAACTTAAACTCAAATGAATGAAGGAAGAATTAAATATCCCAAGAAAAGAGAACCGTTCTGCTTTTGAAAGCAAAAGTGCATTGCACATAGCCCATAACAGAAAACAGGTGTGAGAAAAACTCAAAAATCAGTTGATAAAATTTACCCAAAAAAAAAAGAAAAAAGCACGCAAATACATTCTGCATTCCGTTTTTTGTTATATAGTTTCTGAAGGCACAATCCAGGAATATAACCACTAAAGAAAATCAATTCACTGCAAAGAATGTTATTTGAAAACTCAAACAAACAGTTAAAGGAAGATTCAGATCATCTAAATATAAATTTGTATATATATACATACACATATGAATTTGTATATATATATACACACAAACACACACACACACACACACACACACGTAAATACACATTTGCAACACTACGAAAATCAAAATAGTAATATAGACAATACTTTCCTATTGTATGGCTTGCTATGGTAATGGTGGGTCAAGTATGGATCTAGCAGAGTCAAAAGAATTGAACCTAAATGAATTTGATTGTTTACGAACTGAAACTAATAATATCTCTAGGGTTCTATGTGCTAAAGTTGCATTTAATTTCCTACAATAAAATCGTTTTGAGGTCCGAATTTCAACATTATATAGCAATTTGCTATGTTGATGAACCAATTGTGAAACACAAAAACTGAAACCTACGTAACTCCATAGATGCCTATGATCGAAGGAGACAAACTTACCAGAAGTTGCAGAGGTTCTAATTAAAATTCTGCCCGATGATCGAAGGATGAACAACAAGGTGAAGACCAAAAACACTATGAAGACGGTGATTGTGATGGTACTATCCCAATAAAGCTCTTTGAAATGCTCAAAAGCTCAAACTCTCATATCTATATATTCGGATTGTAGGTTCACAATAGATGATAGAAAACCGACGCTCAATCGAAGCTTAATCATTAATTCACACTCAATTGTTTAGGGTTTTCTCGTGAAGAAGACTGTGGAGCTAGTTCTCTTCTGGAGTGATTTGGGTCTTTTGAAGGAAAAAAACGTGAGTAAATAAGAAAGAAAAAAAGTGGGTCTTATAAATTTAATTTAAATTAAGAAATTAGACATTACTTAAACACGTTAATTAAAGGCAGTAAATAAGAAAGAAAATGTGATAAATATGAAGTTTTCTTTTAAAAATTTATTTAAAACTAATATTTAGTTTTTAATATAAAATTTAGTTTCAAAAATGAAATTTTTTATTTTTTACAAAATTTTACTCTTCAAAAATATGATAGTTTTTGTGTTGGGTTAGATTGTTCTACATCCATACAATGTGATATTGTAACCAGCGAAATTACTCCTCTATTTCATTTTACAATTTTTATTAACACAATTATATTGAATATTTTTCAAATAATTGTTGAGTGTGAGAATGCTTATCAAGGACAACTTTTTTATTTCATTCAGTGTATTAGATTTTTCTTTCACGCGCGTGCGTATAAATCTATATCTATATCTATATCTATATCTATACTATTATTAAATGTGCAAAGTGTTTCAGTATTTCAGTATTTATTTATTAATTAATATAAATTCTATAAAATTCAAAATTACCTAATAAAAATTTAAAATTGCAGGAATCCTCCTCATAAAAAATTATTTGCAAAGTGTTTGAGTGTTTCAGTATTTTAGTATTTATTTATTAATTGATATAAATTCTATAAAATTTAAAATTACCTAATAAAAATTTAAAATTACCTAATAAAATTTAAATTAACACAATATCAAAATCTAATAATTAAAATTCACCATTGCAACATGAATCCTCCTCATAAAAGAATTATTTATTTATAAAAACAATCCCACTATACTACTAATATGATAATAGAAGTATTTATTTATATATACAGTCCTCCTACTATAGTACTCTAATTATTATATCATACTATTACACAATAATCCTCCTCATAAAAGAAGTATTTATTTATAAAAACAGCCCTCCCATTATACTACTACTTTGATTATTATATCATACTACTACTAAACCTAACACGATAATTCAAAAATAAGAAATAAAAAACCTAATAGCGGGGAAGAAAAAGAGTCCATTTTAGATATTAATTAAATCTCTATATATAAGTCTTTTTTTGCCCCCTATTGTAGATTAACTCATTAGCTATGTTTTCATCATGCATTGTTTTATTATTTGCTCATGCATTGTTTTATTATTAGTCTTATATTTTGATCATGCATTGTTTTATTATATATTGCTACATTTAATGTATACAAAAATAAAAAAACCTAATCAATTGTCTTTTTTTTTTTTTTCTTCTTATTAGTCCAAGTTTTGCCAAGATTGAAGCCTTTTTTTGCAAGGTACGTTTCACCCCCATCCCCTATTGGTAGAGTAATTCATTAATTTTTTATTTTATATATATATATATATATATATATATATATATATATATATATTTGGGTTGTAATTATAATTTTTTTCTTGATTAAATTTGAATTTTGTTATTGTTCTCTCAATATAATAAATTTAATTATGAGGAGGATTGTTTTTATATTTTGTGTCTTGTTGCAATCGTGAATTTTAATTATCAGGATTATTTTTATATTTTGTGTCTTGTTGATAGAATCAAAGCATAAGCAAGCCAAATATCAGACAATTATTCTTTCAAACTGTTTCTAACTCCACCACACTCAATTTGTTTCTGACTGATTTGTTTGAATTGATTTTTAAACTGTTAGAATAATTGATCAAAAAGAACCAAATAACTTTCAAAGATCCAATCCCATAGTTCTTGATCAAAACCACACCGAAAAAGTAAATGGTCAACACAGTCTTCATCATATACCCCTCTTTTGAAAAAAAACAAGCAAGGTGTTGATCTCCCTTTATTTGCAAAAATATTCCAAATGCCGATAACGTCAAAATACATATTCCAAATGGGCTGTTTTTTATATTTTATATTTTGAGTTTAGCCCTTCCGTGAATTTTAATTATTAGGTTTTGAAATATATAATTTTTCTATATATATAAGTCTTTTTTTAATCACATCAATTTTTTTTTCAAGGTACGTGTCACCCCCACCATCTATTGGTAGAGTAACTCATTAGTTATGTCTTTATCATGCATTGTTTTATTATTTGCTCATGCATTGTTTTTTCTTTTCTTCTTTTTATTATTAAACTTATGTTTTGATCATGCATTGTTTTATTATATATATTGTTACATTTAATGTATACAAAAATTAGAAAAAAAAAAAAAAAAAAAAAAACCTAATCAATTGTCTTTCTCTTCTTCTTATTAGTCTAAGTTTTGCCAAGATTGAAGCCTTTTTTTGCAAGGTACGTGTCACCCCCACTCTCGATTGGTAGCTTAATTCATTAATTTTTTATTATATATATATATATATAAATTTGTGTTAGAGTTTTATAAAAACTCTTTTTATATCAATTAATAAATATTTTTTTATATTTTGTGTTAGAGTTTTATAGAAACTCTTTTAATAATTGTATAGATATAAAGAAAGGAAAGTAATGGATAGAAGAAAAGGCTTTCACTCAATAAGCTAGAGTTCCTTTCTTGTTTAAAGGAAAGATGCCCGGTTATCACGAAAATCCTAATTCAGATCAGGAAGCATATTAGCACTTGTTTCAATCCTGGGGCAATTTCGGAATGAATATGGGAACAAGAACACTATATGTGGAATTACACAGCTTTGAACTAGTGATCCCTAGATAGGAGGGGGAAACCGATTGGACAGGGAACGAGATAGATTTTTTTAAAAATAGGTAATATTTTTTTATTTTGTGTTAGAGTTTTATAGAAACTCTTTTAATAATAGAATATATATTAGGTAATTTGTAATTTGAATTTTATTAGGTAATTTCAAAGTACTGATTGATTTTATTAGGTAATTTGAAAGTGGTGATTTGATTCTTATTCGATTATAAGGTTGTTTTTTATTTTTTTTCATTGTCTCTTTTGTCATGCCCCGAATTTTTTAAATAAATTCTCCGATTTATTCAAATCAAAATACATCAATATACTCCCAAGATCTCAAAAAAAATATTATTTTATTGATATAAATCAATTCCTCAAATAAAATATAAGAAAATCTCTAAATAATTTAAAATAATTCCTCAACGCCAACTCTTCCACCTAAGCCCGCAACTAGCAAATCACGGTACCTGAAACTGGAAGGGGGTGAGACGGGGGAAGTCCCAGTAGGAAAAACCATAACAAGAATCTCAAGGGATTTCATAGAAACTAGCTTCACAAAATAATATATATGTTTTTAAACAAAATAACATATATGCAATTTGAAGCAAAAGAGCAATTACAAAATATTTGAGATAAAATCACCCAGGTAATTCAAGGTATGAAGAACCCTACTCTGTAAAATAAATAATCATTACTAGATCATCTGAGCATCAAATTTTCGGCCCTATGTGAACCCTCGAACCTCATTGTCTTTCCTCTAATTTCTATCTCTGTTCTCAAAACTCTGTTTCCATAATTTACTTCCTCTATTTTGAATCCTCACCAAGGTCACAATTATAGAAAGGAGATCCACCACCGACACAACAATTCACACAAATATCAAATATCAAACATAATCATCAAAAAATGGGGTCCACCACCGCCACCTTTTCATTTCGGCCGACAATCCATTTTCCTTCTCTTTCTTTACTTTCTAAATATCAATTAACAAACAATAAAATCAGCATGTGCATAAAAGAAGGTCAAAATAACCTTGCCAACAATCAATTAGTGGGCCCGCCAATCCAAATACATCATAATTTCCATTTCCTTTCCCACTTCGTGCTGCCTTCTCTTTATCTCACAAACTAACATTAGATTTATATATATATATATATATTAAATGTATCAAAACCAAAATCAACCCATTAATACCATTTAACGGGACCCGCCAATAAACCATTACAATTCTTTTCTTTTCGTCTCAATTCGGCAACCCCTCTTTCTTTCTCTTATGTTTCGCCACCCTTCTTTCTTCCAACAGTCACCAGTTACATCAAAAACATATACCATATATATTTAATTCCAAAGTAATTAATTCAACCCATTAAAAAATTTAATTGAATAAATCTCCAACAAAAAACAAAATAATCAATAATCCAATCTCCAATTTAAAATCAAAATATCAACTATGACAATTTAGAAGTTATGAAATAAATATAATTTCAACTCTTAAAAATTCGAGTTGTCACATTCTCCACCACAAAAAAAAGAATTTCGCCCTGAAATTCAGATCCAACGATTTTCGCACACCCGAAAACATCAAAAGTGGCAAAACACAATTCAAAAATCCTTACCCCAGGCGATGTGAAATACCGTGACATGCAAAACATTGTGGTAGCTGACATTGTTAGTTACCCGCCCACACACTCCGTAACCGTTGTGGTAGCCAGTCGATGCCGTCACCTGCCTACACAAACATGACCAATAATAAACCAGGCAATACATGCCAAATCACAATTATTGACCGTCCCAGTAGCTTGGTGTTGTCATCGCACCAACGTCTAAAGATGTGCAAAATAGTGTGACCAAGTTTTAAATTTATAAATGCCACTACTACCTCTAACTAAAAATATAGCTAGGGTGAGTAGGGATCGTCCCAAGGGATTTTAAGCGTGCTTGCAATGGAAACAATGTATAGGATTAGTAGGTTGAGTGATCAAAAGGTGGTGTGTTTGGTTGATTAAATTACAAACTAAACTAAATAAGTTCAATGAAGAAGAAGCAAATTAAATGAAATTTAGAGAAAACAAGAGAGTGAGGTCTTGGGGTCTAGAGGTCACCATTAAATATCACCATTCTAGACATTCAATGTATAATTAATGAGGGGAAATATGTGTTACAATTTGAGAGTGTGTGATTGATTGTTTCAATAAGTATGGATGACCAATTAAGCATATATTGTCTTAACAACCTAGTGAATAGCACAATACATCAAACTAAGCCATTAATCCTTCCTTTAAGCTCACAATCCAAACATATCGCATGGT